CGGACTTTTTTGTAGACCCTTTTAAGATGTACAATATTGTAGTACATTATTTTGATCTATCTCGTAGGGTTCAGCCAGCGTTTGCAATGTAAGCGCAAAAAATGTGTTTATTTACGACATCACATTAGAAACCTCTAAAATTATCAGTGTTTCCCTACTATATTATGCATGTATTATACATATAAACCTTCCTCTCGAATCACTCTATCTTTTAAAAAAACCGCATCAAAATCCGTTGCGTAGTTTTAAAGATTTGAGCATACATAGGGACAGACAGCGGGAAAGCGACTTTGTTTTATACTATGTAGTGATTGTATTTCGTACAAATATTTCCAAAAGTTAATCAGTATCAGCAGTATTGTTCATTTGGTTTTGATAGGCTTTCTAACTTACATAAATTTAAGAATTTCCTGAAGTTCCGGCCTTGTAACGTCTCTGTTGGTAAATATTTCGGGTACCGCTGCTCTCATTGTGAAGTACATGTCCAATTTTCTCTTGCATTTCTCCAACGAGAACTTGCAGCCTCTCAGGAAGGTCATGATTCTTTCCTCATCTAGAATTAAAAACCAGAAAACGCATTTGTAGCAACGTATCTAATAAAAATTATTTCGAAAGCGTCAAAGTTCTAGCCGGAACCTTACACTTAATAATGGTGTAAATAATGATTCTCTTTGTAACGATTATTCCTGTCCATTTAACACTTTCTAATCTTATAAATAATAATAATTTATGCATAAAATGTGTAGTACAAAATTAGTTTGGTTGTTTTATTTTTGGTAGTTGGTACAATTTCAAAGTACTGTTTATCAATGTATAATAAATGATATCAAAAGCATGCTGACTTCTCGAACTACCTTATCAAAGGGTTACTGGAAGAAAGTTAATTTTTCGCAAACTTTCGGTACAATTTTTTCAAATTTAGAAAACGTAAGAAGTCGCTGGAAGTCAAATAATCAGGATGAAAGGAGCAGTAGACCAGTAATTTAGATATTCTAAAAGGATTGTTAAAGGTATATATCTGGAGCACCACGGCTCTGTACGGGTGCGAAACATAGAAGGTGATAGACGCAGCGGTTAAGAAAGAGATATTAAAATGAGTAGGAGAACAAAAGACGATCTGAAAGTCAATAAGAAATAGGCGAAATAGGTTAGTAGGGCACCTTCTCAGGCAATAAGGGCTAATTACAGACATATTAGAAACAGAAACGGGAGTTAAGAGGAGTAGAGGTAGACCTAGATTAGATTACTGTTCGCAAATAGTTAAGGATGTGGGCTGTTCTAGTTTTAGGGAAATGCGAAGTATAGCTCAGGATAGGAAAGAGTGGAGGTGTTCAAAGGTTAGTACAATTAATTGTAAAAGTATGTCTTAATAACACATAATATCTAACCCCACGTGTCTGGTAGATGGGGCTGCTTCTTCAACCAATCCTTCATGTGCTCCAAGTCCTTCTGGCGGGTTTCTACATTTTCATTGAGTTCCTTCCTTATCATAACTTGCATATCGGGCGACGGTTGAATGAGTGTCATTTTGTCTTTCTAACAAAAATAAAAAGATAATAAAACAACTTGCGTAATGCAATTATTGCAAGTACAGCAGCATAAATATTTATAGACAAAGAATAAATAAAAAAAAACAACCTTTAATTTGGTGTTTAATAGTTTATTTATTCAAGTCTTAATTGCCAACTGGAGGTCAATTAGCGTACATGCAAATGTTTGACTATTTAGGCTGATTGAATTTAAAATTTTGAGAAAACAACAGCAAAAACTAATTAATTAATTAGTGATAAGCCATCACTTTGCATCAAAATGGCCTAGAACTATACAAATTAGTAATATTTGATGGCTAAGAAACCTTCATCCTAAATGTATTACCAAACTGAGGTGTTACGTTTTTAATGTTTTGCTGATGTACATTATACGTTCTCTCTGAAAAATTATTAGGATAATTGTTGATAAATATGCAAACTGTGAACGACATCAGTTTTTACTTGAAAATGAATCATTAACTGTAGAAAATTTAGGTTCAGTTTCACAAGTGATCTTTATTTGAAAAGGATAACTATCCTGCAATAAATTCGTTTTAAATTTTTCAAATACGTCAACAGAGACAAGAATCTTTGACCCAAGGCTACAAGTATAATAAATACGACTATCAAATTTTTTATTCATTCTCAGTATTACAACCTGTTTCTACATAATACACTTCTTAAATTGTTGTAAAAATATTTTGGGATTTTCGGTATTAATTCGTAAAGGAAATTTTTTTGTTTGTCACATTTTTGTTCTCGATATTTGCCAATAGCTTTCTTAAAATTTTCTTGCGACGCATAAGTAAGACAGGAAGTGTAGTTTTATAGTTTTTCCTTTGATCTCAGATCAAATAATTTTAATAAAACCATCGGACCATGAAGCCCGCCGTGGGACAAAGTACGAAATGTAATATACCCATTTCGCTTCAATTGTTCTATTACATACTCGAATATATTTGTTGCTCCATGAAAGAAATTATAATATTATTATTTATGTGTCGGAAAAAACATGATGGCCTACTTTTCTTTTGACTTACTTTCGTTTTCGTTATTGGTTGCATAATGTCTGTAGTTATAACATAGAGAAGTAATTTTAACTTTCTACATGTATACATAGATAAACATATACATACGTCTGTGCATATATATATATATAGTAACAAGTCAGCTGAGTCATCATTTTCAACTTGACTACTTGACCTGAAGTCGGAAAAAATACTAATTACACGAAAGAAAAATTTCCGCTTTTCAATCAACTGAATTTTTGATTTGATTGTCGTCCATCACCAATATCTACACTCAAAATGCTGTAGAAAATGTCAGACTTTAAATTAACAATGTTTTAAAATAGTTTTAACCGCTAAAATGCAGTGAAGGGTCTCGAAATTTCAAATTAAAACTTAAATAATGCTTTTAAGTGAGGTAAAGGGTTTTATTAATCGTAAACATAGGCCCTTCTTAGAGCTTCATTTAACTCTAACAAATAATTAATCGTGAAGTTGATGTCAAGTTCTTAAGTTAGTTTTGGACCCCAAAAAATGAAATGTCTTAATTTTAGATTGAGATAGATTTAGTGGCAAATCTCTTCTTATAGCTCGAAGCATCTATCTGTATGTCACAGTTGTTTGATCTTTTGAGCTTTGTTAATTGTTTAATAGACAAAACAATTTTTTAACCGATCGATTATTCAATCTATTAATTATGGCTATTATAATAATTGCGCCAAATGCGTCACAAAATTTTGAAGAATTCATTTGCTAAGTGGTAATAGTCCTGTTTGTCATTATCCTTTTTTATCCTTTTCAAGTCGAATTTAAAACGAAACCTTAATTATTGATAACTGATGACTGAGATATTGTTTAATTGGGCTGTAAATGAATTAATAGTTGAATAGTTTAACCCTAATGCTTCCAATACTTCTAAAATTTATCTTACAACACATTTTTCGACATGTTACACATATTTTGTAATGTAATAAGGAAGTGGAAGTAAATGGCAAATACTTTTTGTTTGCTTTCCCAAAAGTTAGTAATCGTTTTCTCTTTTCTTATTATTCTCAAATAATCAGTTACAAAATGGTATTCTTTAAAAATTAGTTAACAACATTGAAATTCTTTTAATTTTTGTGACTATTTAAAATCAAAATACATAGAAAATTGTGGAACTGTACATGAAAGCAATTTCTTTGGCAATTACGAACCGGAAGTTGTAAATGCTAAGAGAAATTTCTTGGTGTAACATTTCACTTGCTTCACAGCAAGGGAAATCGAAGCGATATCGATCAAAAACTAGAAAATCTTTCAACTCACTGTTAAAGTTTAATTTCCTGTTTCTTCTGCCAAAAAGTTAGTCATTCACACCTACCACGTGTTTTTTGTTGAAGAAGAAGCACTCGGAGTCTGTTCTGTCTCTAGAGACAGACTTTCAACTGTTTGTCTTACCAGTTTTCAAACTAAACCAACTTTTTACCGTGAAACTGGTTTTATACGAATGGTCGTTCACGGTCTGTTGTCAGTTTATTAAATCCTGCACTGACCATTGAACATGAACCATACAAGTACTACCTGGTGAACGACTTTCACCTTATTTTCCCCCAAGACGACGAAGAAGACTGTGGTACGGTGCCCCAGGTCCTTCTCTTTCCGAAATCATTTCTCATTCGGCGCGTCCGTTACTTTTAGTAAAGAGGATCTAATTTGGATTAGTAACAACTAGATCTCTAAGTTAATTAAAGTTGTTAACTGGGTTTACTAGTTTTCCATGAAGGAAAATGAAAATTTTCCTTGAACAAAACAGAAAACAAATTATTTATTGCATTGCAACAAATTTAATTCGATGAGATGGAAAACCGTTTTCAATTTTCATGAAAAGTAATCGAAGTCGATGGTGGAAAAACGAATTTTCATGTAAAAGAGAACTTGGTACAATTAAGCTTTCTATTTAAAATACTTCTGCTTTGTTGGAGAAAATTAGATTGTCATGGAAAACGTGTATTTTTCATAAAAGTTTCTAGTCAATTCAACAAATTTTCTTACAGGAAAACTCTATTTTAATTAGATCTGCATTATATAGAAAAATCGTTCTTTATATTTAACGAAATATATTTCCAAAGTTGAATGTCTAAGAAAAATACTATTTTCTTGAAATTAAGTAAATTTTCAAGACTGTAAGTTGAATTTTCAAGAAACTTAATCAATTTTTACTGATGAAAATTTCGTTTACATAGAACGCTATCTATTCACTTTTATGGAGTACAATCGAAAAAAAATTTGTTTATTACACGTAGAAAAAATAACTTCTACAGACACAAACTAAACCATTAAAAAACAAATTGTTGTAGCATTGTAAAAAAAGTATCAAACAGTTTTATAGAGGGTCATTGTTTTTTTTGAAACGCTTTTGAATTTTCTTGGATAAAAGGTATCACAGAAATGCAAAATACAAGCACAAACGTTGGAAGTGTTTTTAACAAATGCGTATAAAGACGTAAAGATAAAGATAATATTTTAATGTAAGTTTCATTAGTGATAAGCCATCACTTTGCATCAAAATGGCCTAGAACTATACAAATTAGTAATATTTGATGGCAAAGAAACCTTCATCCTAAATGTATTACCAAACTGAGGTGTTACGTTTTTAATGTTTTGCTGATGTACATTATACGTTCTCTCTGAAAAATTATTAGGATAATTGTTGATAAATATGCAAACTGTGAACGACATCAGTTTTTACTTGAAAATGAATCATTAACTGTAGAAAATTTAGGTTCAGTTTCACAAGTGATCTTTATTTGAAAAGGATAACTATCCTGCAATAAATTCGTTTTAAATTTTTCAAATACGTCAACAGAGACAAGAATCTTTGACCCAAGGCTACAAGTATAATAAATACGACTATCAAATTTTTTATTCATTCTCAGTATTACAACCTGTTTCTACATAATACACTTCTTAAATTGTTGTAAAAATATTTTGGGATTTTCGGTATTTATTCGTAAAGGAAATTTTTTGGTTTGTCACATTTTTGTTCTCGATATTTGCCAATAGCTTTCTTAAAATTTTCTTGCGACGCATAAGTAAGACAGGAAGTGTAGTTTTATAGTTTTTCCTTTGATCTCAGATCAAATAATTTTAATAAAACCATCGGACCATGAAGCCCGCCGTGGGACAAAGTACGAAATGTAATATACCCATTTCGCTTCAATTGTTCTATTACATACTCGAATATATTTGTTGCTCCATGAAAGAAATTATAATATTATTATTTATGTGTCGGAAAAAACATGATGGCCTACTTTTCTTTTGACTTACTTTCGTTTTCGTTATTGGTTGCATAATGTCTGTAGTTATAACATAGAGAAGTAATTTTAACTTTCTACATGTATACATAGATAAACATATACATACGTCTGTGCATATATATATATATAGTAACAAGTCAGCTGAGTCATCATTTTCAACTTGACTACTTGACCTGAAGTCGGAAAAAATACTAATTACACGAAAGAAAAATTTCCGCTTTTCAATCAACTGAATTTTTGATTTGATTGTCGTCCATCACCAATATCTACACTCAAAATGCTGTAGAAAATGTCAGACTTTAAATTAACAATGTTTTAAAATAGTTTTAACCGCTAAAATGCAGTGAAGGGTCTCGAAATTTCAAATTAAAACTTAAATAATGCTTTTAAGTGAGGTAAAGGGTTTTATTAATCGTAAACATAGGCCCTTCTTAGAGCTTCATTTAACTCTAACAAATAATTAATCGTGAAGTTGATGTCAAGTTCTTAAGTTAGTTTTGGACCCCAAAAAATGAAATGTCTTAATTTTAGATTGAGATAGATTTAGTGGCAAATCTCTTCTTATAGCTCGAAGCATCTATCTGTATGTCACAGTTGTTTGATCTTTTGAGCTTTGTTAATTGTTTAATAGACAAAACAATTTTTTAACCGATCGATTATTCAATCTATTAATTATGGCTATTATAATAATTGCGCCAAATGCGTCACAAAATTTTGAAGAATTCATTTGCTAAGTGGTAATAGTCCTGTTTGTCATTATCCTTTTTTATCCTTTTCAAGTCGAATTTAAAACGAAACCTTAATTATTGATAACTGATGACTGAGATATTGTTTAATTGGGCTGTAAATGAATTAATAGTTGAATAGTTTAACCCTAATGCTTCCAATACTTCTAAAATTTATCTTACAACACATTTTTCGACATGTTACACATATTTTGTAATGTAATAAGGAAGTGGAAGTAAATGGCAAATACTTTTTGTTTGCTTTCCCAAAAGTTAGTAATCGTTTTCTCTTTTCTTATTATTCTCAAATAATCAGTTACAAAATGGTATTCTTTAAAAATTAGTTAACAACATTGAAATTCTTTTAATTTTTGTGACTATTTAAAATCAAAATACATAGAAAATTGTGGAACTGTACATGAAAGCAATTTCTTTGGCAATTACGAACCGGAAGTTGTAAATGCTAAGAGAAATTTCTTGGTGTAACATTTCACTTGCTTCACAGCAAGGGAAATCGAAGCGATATCGATCAAAAACTAGAAAATCTTTCAACTCACTGTTAAAGTTTAATTTCCTGTTTCTTCTGCCAAAAAGTTAGTCATTCACACCTACCACGTGTTTTTTGTTGAAGAAGAAGCACTCAGAGTCTGTTCTGTCTCTAGAGACAGACTTTCAACTGTTTGTCTTACCAGTTTTCAAACTAAACCAACTTTTTACCGTGAAACTGGTTTTATACGAATGGTCGTTCACGGTCTGTTGTCAGTTTATTAAATCCTGCACTGACCATTGAACATGAACCATACAAGTACTACCTGGTGAACGACTTTCACCTTATTTTCCCCCAAGACGACGAAGAAGACTGTGGTACGGTGCCCCAGGTCCTTCTCTTTCCGAAATCATTTCTCATTCGGCGCGTCCGTTACTTTAAGTAAAGAGGATCTAATTTGGATTAGTAACAACTAGATCTCTAAGTTAATTAAAGTTGTTAACTGGGTTTACTAGTTTTCCATGAAGGAAAATGAAAATTTTCCTTGAACAAAACAGAAAACAAATTATTTATTGCATTGCAACAAATTTAATTCGATGAGATGGAAAACCGTTTTCAATTTTCATGAAAAGTAATCGAAGTCGATGGTGGAAAAACGAATTTTCATGTAAAAGAGAACTTGGTACAATTAAGCTTTCTATTTAAAATACTTCTGCTTTGTTGGAGAAAATTAGATTGTCATGGAAAACGTGTATTTTTCATAAAAGTTTCTAGTCAATTCAACAAATTTTCTTACAGGAAAACTCTATTTTAATTAGATCTGCATTATATAGAAAAATCGTTCTTTATATTTAACGAAATATATTTCCAAAGTTGAATGTCTAAGAAAAATACTATTTTCTTGAAATTAAGTAAATTTTCAAGACTGTAAGTTGAATTTTCAAGAAACTTAATCAATTTTTACTGATGAAAATTTCGTTTACATAGAACGCTATCTATTCACTTTTATGGAGTACAATCGAAAAAAAATTTGTTTATTACACGTAGAAAAAATAACTTCTACAGACACAAACTAAACCATTAAAAAACAAATTGTTGTAGCATTGTAAAAAAAGTATCAAACAGTTTTATAGAGGGTCATTGTTTTTTTTGAAACGCTTTTGAATTTTCTTGGATAAAAGGTATCACAGAAATGCAAAATACAAGCACAAACGTTGGAAGTGTTTTTAACAAATGCGTATAAAGACGTAAAGATAAAGATAATATTTTAATGTAAGTTTCAACAAGACCTAATAAAACAATACCAATAACCCCTTATTTTTATTGTTTTTTAATGTCTCTCGTCGTCAGTAAATAATTCCAGAGTTATCGACCGTTTCACCTGAAATTTTGATGAGTAGATTTGTTTATTTACTAAAGCAAAATCCACACTGACTGTTTACAATTACTAACTAAGAAATGATAAGATAAAATTGTCTATTTAAATTCTTCAACCTGCACGATAAATTATTATTTTTATTCTGTTAATCAAAGGTAATCCATTAAATTCGCTAGTAGCGATTGTTAAAATCAATCATATAAGTATTATTGTTTAAATTTATTTCGAAATGGAATTTGTTTCTACAATTTTGTGCATCTCGGCGATATTTGCTGTGGTTTCGTCATCTTCCCTTCCTGTTGATGACGATCCTTGCCTGTGTTCTCGAGAATTTAAGCCAGTTTGTGGTACCGATGGGAAGACGTACTCCAATAGATGTATGCTCGAATGTAGGAAATTCATGACGAAAGATGAGACCCTCGAAGTGGCTAAAGAAGGACCTTGCGAACGCCAAGATTTCTGAAACAATAAGGTGGCTTCTTAGAGATCTTTTTTTTTGTGAAGTGACTTTTCAACGGTTTGGTCTTTTTGATCATGAAACTGGTGGTGGATTGTATCATTTATTTAAATAACATATAATCAACACATTACATACGTAGTAGACAATATACGTATTAAAGATTTTACACAATTTTTTGTCAGTTAAATATTAGTGAAGTCAATTTAAGGATTTCGATAATGGAAAGACGAAAATCCATTATTAAAGGTGTGTTTGGGTGCGAAATGTGGACGGTGGGTGCTTCGAAAGTTAGAAAACGTTTGAACTGTGATGTTACACGAAGATTGTGAAAATATCTGGGATAGAAAAAGGATTTAACAAAATTTGAAAAAGTATGAAGACAGAGTACGTTATAGAAGTCACTGAAAGAAACTTTAGCTAACCCTTTGATGACTTTATGAAAGTTAGACATTTATTAATCCTGGACAATAAAAAATATTTAGAGTGTCTCTAATCCCGAAGGATAAAATCCTGACCGACAGATTTCGTTAAAAACCTCGTAATTTACAATAATACAACATTTCTGAAAAACTGATCGGGTTCGACCAGTGTAGCTTCACTTTATTTATCTAATCATTTATGATGTATGTGTCAACATTATCTAATTGGCCTTCAAAGTCTGGAACTTCTGAGAATCTAACACTTTCAGAACCAAACCGATCATACGTGTTTTAAACTTTGCAAGAATAAGAAGTGTCTTTTAGATTGTGCAATTTTGAAAAAGTTTTTTCGTTCGCATCCAATCGAAGAAAAAGTAGCAAATTCTACTGCAATTCAAGATGAAGATAATTTCGTTGATTTTTTGTATCTTCGTTTTTCTCTGGTCCTTTGCGAGTGCCCAGGAGAATTGCATTTGCACTTTAGAATACAAACCCCTTTGTGGAACCGATAATAACACATACGACAACGAATGCCTCTTCAAATGTAACCAGAAAAGGAGCAAGAACCTAAGCATTGCAAGAAGTGGACCTTGTGATGGTTAATTCTGATCTATTTGGAAATCTGATTTTTTTGTTGTAATCTTTGTTAAATGCTACTGTTAATATTTTGACGCCGTAATACATACACATATGAATGTATAAATGCTTATAATGTACTAATAACTAATACAGTAAATCACTAATTTTGATTATTATTTTTTTTTTAATTTAAAAATTGTTTCAGCATAATTAACCGGGTTTGACGAGTTAGTTTAACCGTAAGAAGTTGAATTTCATAATAAATAATAATTATCTTGAATTGCAAGTTTATTAATTCCNAAATTTTAGGTTCAGTAGTTTCGGAGATAGGGAGGGAATGGTCAATTTTCATCTAATTTTTTAAATAACTTTAAAATTACAAAAAATATATATTTGAGATCCTTACAACAAGCCCTTTCATTTGATATGTCACACGGTACAGTTTGCAAAACTTCTTTTTAATTTTCTATTGGTCCCCCAAAATGACTCCCATGTTCAAAACTATTTTCTATATTTTTTTCAAAATTTTAGGTTCAGTAGTTTCGGAGATAGGGAGGGAATGGTCAATTTTCATCTAATTTTTTAAATAACTTTAAAATTACAAAAAATATATATTTGAGATCCTTACAACAAGCCCTTTCATTTGATATGTCACACGGTACAGTTTGCAAAACTTCTTTTTAATTTTCTATTGGTCCCCCAAAATGACTCCCATGTTCAAAACTATTTTCTATATTTTTTTCAAAATTTTAGGTTCAGTAGTTTCGGAGATAGGGAGGGAATGGTCAATTTTCATCTAATTTTTTAAATAACTTTAAAATTACAAAAAATATATATTTGAGATCCTTACAACAAGCCCTTTCATTTGATATGTCACACGGTACAGTTTGCAAAACTTCTTTTTAATTTTCTATTGGTCCCCCAAAATGACTCCCATGTTCAAAACTATTTTCTATATTTTTTTCAAAATTTTAGGTTCAGTAGTTTCGGAGATAGGGAGGGAATGGTCAATTTTCATCTAATTTTTTAAATAACTTTAAAATTACAAAAAATATATATTTGAGACCCTTACAACAAGCCCTATCATTTGATATGTCACACGGTACAGTTTGCAAAACTTTTTTTTTAATTTCCCACTGGCCCCTTCAAAAATTACCCCCATGTTCAAGGTTAATTTATTTACGTAATGCGTCCGTGTTTGGGTCACAGAAATTCACATGTGTACTAAATTATTAACTTAATCGATCCAGTACCCTATAAGGGTTCCGTTTTTCATTCGGACTTACGGAACCCTAAAAAAGACTTCAATGTAAAATATCATCGGCTGTAATTCATTAAAAATAGCACATTTACGAGTGGATAAATAACCAAGTATACAAATAACACTGATAAAAAGGTACTTGTAAATTACCCGCGATAAAGGTCAAGGATTATATTTAGATTATCGTATTATTAAGAATAAGGTGCTCCAAATACGTACAACATTGTAATCAAACAAAAATATTAAAACTGTTTTGACGCTTTTACTATCAAATAGAATTTGTATTTCTTCGCGAAANTTTTGGTAGTTGGTACAATTTCAAAGTACTGTTTATCAATGTATAATAAATGATATCAAAAGCATGCTGACTTCTCGAACTACCTTATCAAAGGGTTACTGGAAGAAAGTTAATTTTTCGCAAACTTTCGGTACAATTTTTTCAAATTTAGAAAACGTAAGAAGTCGCTGGAAGTCAAATAATCAGGATGAAAGGAGCAGTAGACCAGTAATTTAGATATTCTAAAAGGATTGTTAAAGGTATATATCTGGAGCACCACGGCTCTGTACGGGTGCGAAACATAGAAGGTGATAGACGCAGCGGTTAAGAAAGAGATATTAAAATGAGTAGGAGAACAAAAGACGATCTGAAAGTCAATAAGAAATAGGCGAAATAGGTTAGTAGGGCACCTTCTCAGGCAATAAGGGCTAATTACAGACATATTAGAAACAGAAACGGGAGTTAAGAGGAGTAGAGGTAGACCTAGATTAGATTACTGTTCGCAAATAGTTAAGGATGTGGGATGTTCTAGTTTTAGGAAAATGCGAAAATTAGCTCAGGATAGGAAAGAGTGCAGGAGTCTGACGACCTTATGATAAGGAATAATTAATAAATTTGCTGCAGGTGTATTACGTATTTATTTCCATGATACATGCCAATTTGATGGATGTCCTTTTGTGTTCCTGGCTGATTTTTGCATGCGAGCAATTAATGCATTTGAAGGAAATTTTAAAACCCCTCATGGTAATCGAACTAGGAAAATTTTTGAAAATCTTTTCTTGTATATATTACCTTTTAGGAATTGTCTGCAACGTTAGACACATACGTCCCCAAAACGGCTGACCTATTTAGAGCCCCCGGTCCCAATTGTATCTCTCGCTCGATTTCGTCAGTAAATCAATACAACGAGTAAAAATATATCGGTTACTTCATTTTGCTCAAACAATTACGTAAAATGTCGTTAAGTCTCTCAAGACTCAAGACCATTCCTGTTTCATTTCTCATTATTACATTTATGTATTTTTGTATGACCGAACAACACTGCATTTATTTTAAGCTAAAACTCATTAATACTTTTGTGTTTAATCCAGTAATTAAGTCGGCGCTATGTTAGATATAAAAATGTTCCGGCTTCTAGAAAGCATTAAAAACTCCCTATTTCACAATCCATCTCTCTCTCTTTGTTGTGAAATTAATTATATCTCGGTTCGCGTTTATGACACACTACAGGCGAACCGTGTAGAGGCTTACAGTTAAAAAAATTAACAACAATCTTACGTTAGACACATATAAAGATAATTACAGAACCGAATCGAGGTACAAGAATCGTTATTGTATCTGTAATATTAATTAAAAGATGCTTCGACCTAGTTTATGAGCATAGAATTTAATTAAAATACGAAAATAACTCAAAATGTTTTCATTATTAACGCGGTGCGCTTTAGTTAACACTAATTCCTAGTAAACGATATAGATAGGCAAAAAAAAAAGAAATCTAACCCTTCTAGTTCACCCCCCTAAAATTCAATTAATAACGAAAATTTTTTTGACCTTTAATAGTCCAAATATTTTTTGTATATGTACGCTAGTGATAGGATAGTTTGTGTTGCCCCGATAAATTTTAATTAATGAATTTATTTTTTTGAGATAATTGCTGCTATATAAATAAAATTGACTCAAAAAAATAAATTCATTNAAATATTTTTTGTATATGTACGCTAGTGATAGGATAGTTTGTGTTGCCCTGATAAATCTTAATCAATGTATTTTTTTTTTGAGATAATTGCTGCTATATAAATAAAATTGACTCATAAGATTATACTATAATAATTGCTCTACACCAAATTAACTGTTTGATGCTTGCCATTTGTATTACTTCAAAATACATAGTAACTACACATTAATTAATTGTATTTCCTTGCCTGAATGCATCTACCATATCAAAAAAATGTTGCGAAATCTAATATTATTTAATAAGTATCAGCTTGAAATGGTTTGAATTCTTTTTAATAGGATATTACCAAAAGATACCCTTTCACTTCTTTATGTATATGTATACAGTTCGTTAGTAAAAAATATAATAATCTTCTAGACGCTTCTATTGGATTAAGTGTTTAAAATTAGTTTAATGTCAGGTAAATTTTTAAAACGTAGATTTGTTTGCGTTCTGGTATGTATACACAATTCTTTCTGTACGTTTTTTAATAGAAAAAATTGAATCATTTTGATGTACCCATGATGAAAGTAAACATAAGCAACCTTCCCCTATTTTTTCAAGGCATTCTTCAAATGACTTTTGCGAGGTTTGAACATGTTTAACTTTACTTTATTTTTTTTTTTTATTAAATAAACTTAATGTTTTTAAGACGCCGGGATTAAATAAGGCAGTTTGTTTATCAGGGGGTCGTTTTGATCAATAATATTTCGATTAAGTAGTGGGTGGTCGTTAAAAATTGATGGGACCAAAATTATAGGGTAACTATCGTTAAGGGATGTAATATCTAATAAATTTTATAAGAGACATGATCTGTCACATGGTATTAGTCTGTACCAATGAAAAATAGAGCTGCAACCCCATTGGACCGCGTAATAATGAGTGTCCCCCAGTCCTTGCATGGCATTGGTATTGAATTATTTTATGACTTACGTTAGATATATCGGTGACTTTTACAAAATTATTATTACGAAGAATTTTTGGAAGTAACAGTGACAAAAACAGGTACATTTTAATTTAATTGTCATAATTATCATACTCAAAAAAAGAAACTTAGTTTCTTTACTGATAACAAACTTAATTATCAGTAGTCGCATTAGATAATAAGTAAAACTTTTTTAGATTAAACTTATTTTGAATAACAATTTAAAAGAATGTACTTAATAATGTCATTAATTGTTGTTCAGGGGTTGAAACCCCAACCTTACGGTATCAGTATCATATTTTTGGATTTTTTAAAATTAATATTCAATTTCTTCCTTTTTGTTGTAGAGAAAAAATGAAATTTAAAAAAGTCGGTTTAGTGGCGGACCTAATGCCTAACATTCGTCTAATGCAGGCTTCTGGTCATTTTTTATTTAATTATTACGACAACATGGGGGGTATGATGCACTTAATAAGGGTTGGCTACTGCTGGACGGTGTTGATTCTACTTCTTTTCCAATTTGGGTAAATTAATATAACTAATATTTCTATATTATTACACCAAAAAGTAGATATTAATGTATGCATAAATTACAGGGGCGCATTTGGAAATTTAATTGTAGAAGCTGACGATGTAAACGATTTAGCAGCAAACACAATAACAGTACTATTTTTCACCCATTGTATTACTAAATATGTTTACTTTGCAGTACGATCTAAACTATTCTACAGGTAAAAAAGGATTTATAATTTTTTTTCTTGGTGAGATTTAACACAAACATTTGTAGGACATTCGGTATATGGAATCAAAGTAACAGTCACCCCCTGTTTGTTGAATCTAATAATAGATACCATGCTGTGGCACTAAAGAAAATGAGAATACTTTTATCGGCTGTCGTAGCTTTCACCGTTTGTAGTGCAATTGGTAAAGATATTAAAAACAATTTTTATTTTTTGGTTTCCATTAATTTAAATTTAAGCGTGGACAACACTGACTTTTTTTGACGAAAGCGCGAGGGAAAGACCCGACCCCGAAAATGAAAATATCACCGTTACGACACAACTCCCTAAATTGCTAGTAAAGTCCTGGTTACCCTATAATGCTATGTCAGGGATGAAGCATTCCCTAACATTTGGATTTCAGGTGAAAAAATATACACATTAACGAATATTAATTAAAACAATATTATATTAAATTGCATGTGAACATAATTATTATTTTTATAAAACGCAATCAACATCATTAATGATAATACAACAGTAGGGATAGATATACAAGGGCAAAAGATTAGTATACTTAGATTTGCAGATGATATAGCAGTATTACCATCCAGCTAGGAGAAGTTAGAGATAGCTTTAAATAAAATAAAAATAAAACAAAAATACTGGTATGCGTGGGAAAAAAAAGTAGGGAAAGAGCGAATGTAAAGATAGGAGACGAAAAATTATAAAAANTTCGGGCGTGTTCTATCCTGGACTCCAATTTTCTCTGAAGCTGACGAGTGGTGGGCGGCTGATAATTTCTTGGAGGAGATCGACCATCGCTTCCTGCGCTCGAACTATCACTGTTCTGTAAATTTAACTGATTGCAATTTTCTGAATCATTCGCTTCCATATTAAACATCTATCCAACTTTAAATTACAATTACCTGGATGTTCTATTTAATTTTGAACTAGCTTTACCAAAAATGAGGTAAAATTTACTTTTCGTGTTTTTAAAGTGTACAGTACTGTCAAAAAATTTTGTCTGTACACTTAGACTCTGGTGATATAATGAATAAATAATTATGAAGGAGTATAAAAACCTATTTACAGTATTCAATATAAACCAGGGGTGTACCTAGGCAGGAGCGTGGAGGGTTGTGACAGCCCCCCCCAAATTTTGATGTCAATCAGCCAATACCAGAATTGGCATTTTTAGTGAATTTGACTTACTGTTACTTGCAATTTTTACCGTGAATTACTTACAAGTCTTTTTTCCGTTATAATTACTAACCATTTTTGCTGTCCCAAAAAATGTTCTGGTTGAATCAACATTTTTAACAAAATTCGACCTCCTCCCCAATCCCAACTAATGCTGCTCAGTATACATAATAAAAAACGTTTTCGTAAAAGTTTTAAACACAAATTTTCATTCAATGAAGAATCTGTACCTAGCCTTTTGGGATATGATAAGTAAATAATATTATAAACCAGTCATCAACGTAAGGTCTCCAGCATAAAGATTGGGTATGACTGGTTGGGCATTTTGCCATTCATCTGTTTCTCAAAAACTAGAGGAACTTGGGTACATATCTAATTATCTGAGAACAGTAATCTAATATAGGATTCTTAAATCCTGTTTCTGCTTCTAATATGTTTCTAACCAGCCCTTTGTGTCTGTCTGTCGCATTAATTTCTTCTTTCAGCTTACTCAATAGACTAGGATGATCCCTGACAGAACGTCTACATTTACTCATAAATAACCAGGAATTCAATGTCCACTATCGCAGTGGGGCATTGCAAACGTTTGCATCTGGTGGTGGGGGTATCGGACCCAATGGTCTTACTAAGAGGCAGGAGCAAATGGTCAGATCTGCTATTAAATATTGGGTCGAAAGGCATAAGCATGTCGTAAGGTAAAATAATTACTTTATAAATAAACTAGGTATAATTCCTGGCGTTGTCCAGGTCATCTTGATCGTAAAAATAAAAAGAATGTGTTGTATCGGCCGGGGATAGAACCCGGGCATTGCAATCGAACAAGTGAGGTGTTTGATCCAATATATACAATATTTTACTGGTCAGAATTTTAATCGCTTTGGATTAGTACTTATTCAAATATTTTTACCCAAATTAGTACCAGTTGAACCAAACGTTACCTAATCTAGTACCAGCCTAACCTAAGTCAATTTTAATTATTTTTTTAATTAAACTAACCGAACTTAGTGTTTTACTTTTCTTTTATTAATCCAGAATCCTTCCTCGGAGTTAATAACGATTCACTTAAGTATATAAATTAAAATTGAACAGAAAATATAGAGTATAAATGTTATATTTTTGTTGAAACTGTATTTAATTCTTCCTTAAATTAGAGATCATACATTTATATCTTACACATACACACATATAATAAGTTCTAATGTCATTATCCAACTTTCGTCGGTCGTTTTCATGAATAATAAAAGCGCGTAGCTGTCAACACTTGTACAATAAAAATTTTTCCCATAACGTCGAGTGGGTAAAAAGGAAGGTCGAGTATAGAATGGGTCGATAGCTTAATAGGTGGTCATCTACCGTAAATTATTAATCCACATTTGTAGGAATTACATACGTCAGGATAATTAGGATTGAATTTACAAAATTGGAAAAACAATAAATACGTAATATTTTTAGCGCAAATAGGTACATTTGTTTATTTATTTATGGGACCCAATTAACGAATTATTTATGCCTTAGACTAGTCACCGCAATCGGGGACAGTTATGGGGTAGCTTTACTATTGCATATGTTAACATCTACAGTAATGCTAACTCTTCTTGCGTATCAGGCCACAAAGGTATTTCAAAAAAATGAGTTAAAAATGTTATTTGTACCTAAATATATTCGTTTTTTACCAGATTACTGGCGTTACCCCGTATGCAGCGTCTGTACTGGGTTACCTGGTCTATGCCTTAGCTCAAGTGTTTCATTTCTGTATTTTTGGTAACAGGCTAATCGAGGAGGTAAAAAAAAAATTGTTATTGAACGTTTCGCATAAAATAAGTTTCATCTTCAAGTCATGCATTAAAATATTTTTCTTATTGGTTTCTCTAAATAATATAAAATAAGTATTGTTTAAAGCGTTAGGTTTTTTAAGGGTAAAAAAAATTTTATTGGCACGTTTCGTACCCTTTGCTGTAGAGCTCTTCAGTGATGGAGGCAGCATACAGCTGCCATTGGTACGACGGTTCCGAAGAGGCAAAAACTTTTGTGCAAATTGTTTGTCAACAATGTCAAAAAGCCATGTCCATATCGGGGGCTAAATTTTTTACCATATCTCTCGACTTATTTGCCTCAGTAAGTGTATTTGTTTAAATATTATATATTTTTTTTTTAATATACCGTATCTTCAGGTTTTGGGGGCAACTGTTACATACTTTATGGTCTTAATACAACTGAAATAGTTTTTTATTACGTTTCCACATATTTTTTTCTTTGCTATTTTTCTAGTTGTTATAT